AAAGGCTGTGGCTGGTTTCCATAGCAACCATTTTGAGTAAAACTCTAGAAATTTAATTTCTCTTCTTGAGTGCAATAGCACACAATTGATCTTTCTTTATCATATTTAAACAAACTTTTTGGTCCATATTGAGGGTACCATACCACCTTAATAGGAAGTCGTCAAGAATTAGTAAAAAACTTAGTTGAAACGTCAATTTATTCAAAACGAGGTCCATATGGAAGGGCCGAGGATTGAGATTTTTCCCTAAAGACCGAACATTCGAGGTTAATAAGTTGTTTATTATATGGCTTTTTTCTTTACTTTTGCCGGGTCCGTAATCGGCCCGTGGGCATTACGGGAGAATAATGCCCGGGAATTAGCCAATCAGAGGGCGCGTTATATCGGCTACAAACACAAGCCATATAATAATAAACTATAAATAGATTAGGTTTCTTATTTTGTTTCGTTCTCTTTTCCAATCAGAATATTCCTAGCCTTTTCATCGTGAACTTATATTTGTCATAACAGCCTGGAGCCTTGGAAGCTGAGCATATCGCAAGTGTTAAATCGTAGTTCTAAACAAGTTATAAATCACAGATTGTCTTCTTTAATACAGTTTAAGTAGTGAAAGATACGAAAGTTAGTGAGGAAACGCACACCTGAATCAAGGTAGGGTGTATATTTTTATTTATTCTCCTTCGTAGTTTTTAGACTTAAGAATGCATTCAACTCTCTCTCAGACGGACACCATCGGGACCGGCCTCAGCTGTCCGTCTTAGAGAGGTGTCCGGCTTGTAGAGAGTCGACGTAACATGACCCCAGGAATTTTAAGATAATAATGCTGAACCTGTGCACAGTGAATACGCGTCTGTTTAAAGTTTGTTTTAAGTTATTTACTTGAACGAAACCTGTAAACTGGAACGAAAACATATTTATAAAATTGAATCTCTTGGCGTATTACAATCAATAGTTAAAGGGTTAACTAGAGTCCAAACAGTGAACATTACATTCTGCAAACGGGAACATCATCATCTTATGCCTCAGAACTGTGTTTCGCGGCACCAAGTCTAAAAATATGTCACATTCAACACCTCACGAGTGTCCGTTGACGATTTCAAATTGTCCGTTGTCCTTCTTGTGGAGGTGTCCGTCTTATAGAGAGTTTGGTTATGGTAAAATGACTGAGAAACGGCCGGGACCAGCACTGGGTGTCCGTCTTATAGAGGTGTCCGTTAAGACAGAGTTGACTGTGTAACTGTTTTTCATGCAAATCCTTCTAGTTGGACTTCGGCGTAACCTGAGTACTATGTGCAGGAACTCTAATCTGCGAGTTTGGCTATCTCGTTCCCATGGTCTTTTATCTTCCCGCCCTCTCTCTCTCTCTAGCTCCGGGAGAGCGCGAAGATGACAGACGCTGGAAATGAGGTGTCGAGTTTGAGCCACCGTTGGGTTGCAAATGATTGTGATCCTTCATAACACAGCCTCAACCAATAAACAGTAAAACGTGATTAAACTGCACGTACCAAAATTTCCCTGATTTCCAGATAACCAGTTGTATTCAGGTAGAACCCAATGACAACTGGCGTGATGCCCATTTTCCACGACTGAACGTAGGACAATGGAGCGCCAAGGGGAAGAAACCGACCTAGCTAATTTTACTTTAAGGTGGTCTTATACTTCTGTGCAACAGTTTTGGTACCATGTTAAAGGGCCTCGCACTGTGACTTCAAAAATGAGCTTTTCCAGGTCACAAGCCACAATAGTTAATGAGTAACTAGCTCCTAAGTGTTAAAAAGTGGAGTTCATTATAAGCACGATAACTTACTAATAAATAGTTCGAGAAGCGTGTTTCGTCACTGACACTAATTCGCGTAAATAATTATTTTGAGATTGAGTAAAGTTGAATGTTTTAAATATATCAATCTCAAAAACATTTTGCTTATTGAGTTTGTTAAACTCGAAGCAAAGCCATGGCCTCTTACCTTAAAATAATTGCAAGACTGACTTGTGTTTCATTTAATTAGCGGCTCATTAGTCTCTCTCGACTGAGCCGTTTTTTTTTTGTTTTTTTTTGAGTCACGGTCATAAAAGAAACGTCTTTTTCTTTCTTCCTCCTGCTTTTTGTACCTGTTTCAGGCATGGGCAAGACTTTTTTAATCATTTACCTTCTCCCAGTCAGGTAAAATATTATCTAAGTTTTCCAAAATTTCTGCCATTTTAAACAACAGTGGGATAATGTTTGTAATGATGACGTCATCTATGCGTCTGTCCACCAATAGATCATAGGTGAGAACCAGTCAAAATGCAAGAATAATTTGTCAACTTATTATATAATATGTAGTCGAGTAATAACTTTAGTTAGGATTCAAGTCATTAGAATCGGTTTTGCCCAAGAGAAGATCAAGGTAAGAGAGTGAATCCCCCATATAGGCCTTACCCAAGGTAATCCCTCTTAAGTTATTTTTAGACATGGTACCCAGTTCTTCCGAGAATGTTTCTCGCGCTTTGCGTGGATTTTTTCGTGGAGGTTTTGCTTATGTTTCGTTTCTTTTCAAAACGAAGGAAAACCTCCAACGTTGTGGAGTTGTATTATTTGATATTTTAATATCAAAGAAGCAGAGCTACGGCCCTCGCCATGTTTTAATACATTCCTGTTTGTACAGATGCTCGCTGTACAAACAATAGGGAGTTTAAGTAACCACGACGGCGACGCCGAGGACAACGTCGATTAAAAAAATAAAGTTATATTTTACCTCGAATTTCGCGATACTCATTTACTTTCTTTATGACTATCAAAACTACTACAATTTCAGAGCCACGCTCGATAACAAAGAACATTGTGCTGCAATTGCAGTGGATTTATCAAAGGCATTCGATTCCGTGTCCCACAGCCTTCTACTCACAAAGTTGAGAGCCTATGGTTTTACTGACAGTGCCTTGCATTGTGTCTCACTCGTTCATATTTGTGTGGAAGAAAGCAACGTGTTAAGATTGGAAATTCGTACTCAGACTTGAGAACAATCAAGCATGGAGTTCCTCAGGGGTCAATCTTGGGACCACTTCTATTTAATTTATTTATTAATGATCTCACTTACTTTGTTGTTGATGCTATCTTGATTTGAGGCTATATGCTGATGATACAACAGAATACTTATCAAACCGCAATCCAAATGCTCTAGAGTTCACTTCACAGAATAGCTTTGATATGCTTCAATCATGGTTTAAGTGTAATTACTTAAGTGTAAATGAGGCAAAAACCAAAGTGTTATCATTGGGAGACAATCCAACACATCTCCAGCTTTTTGCAGATCGTACCAAGCCACCCTTAGATTTAGTTAAAGAATTAAAACTCTTGGGCCTAACTATAGACAACTCATTAACTTACAAGGCCCATGTCAAATCTGTATGTGATAAAGTCAATGCTAAAGTTGCTGCTCTTAGGAGGGTACGAAAGTTTATACCTGCTGATGTGATGTTCAATATTTACAAGGCCTTCATCTTACCACACTTGGAATACTGTGCACCTGTTTTAGTGGGACTTTCATCTGGACTTTCTAACAAGCTAGAATTTACTAATCAGTTTGCTATCAGAACACTAATGAATCTGCCCAYGTCAACTCCATATGGCGATCTACTTAAGATAGTAAACATCAAGTCCCTAGAGCATCGCAGATACATGCAAGCCCTAATCCTTCTTTATAAATCTTTGTTTATTACGGGGCCAAACTACATCAAGGAATTGTTCTCCTTGCGTTCTAGCAATTATGACCAAAGAGGCTATTGTAAGCTTAATCAGCCTACCTTTCAATCAAAGTATTTGCATAATTCTTATCGCTACATAACTTCACGTTTATGGAATAACCTACCTGACAATATAAGAGGAGCGTCCTCTCTTAGAATTTTTAAAAATTTGCTGAACAATGTTAATCTGACTACCGAGGCCAATTGTTGTTGTAATCTTTGTATCGAGTAGTTTACATATTTAAATTTTTATAGTCTAGTTATTAAATTTTAAATTTTATAGTCTAGTTTTTCAATTTTAAATTTTATAGTCTAGATAATATATTTAAATTTTACAATTTAATTTTAGCATACACGTTCACATTTAAACGAGCACCGGGCTCACTGGTGAAATGTGTTTAATTAAAGTACTTACTTACTTACTTACTTACTTACTACAATATTAAATCAGGAACGCAGTGGTAAATTTGAAACAGAAATTAATAAAATTTGCCGTCGTGATTCACACTCTCCGACTTCTCCAGACAAAAACGCAGAATTTGGTCATTTCACGTTGCCGTTTTGCTTTGGACGGTAAAAAAATGAATTAAGAATTATAACGCACATGCAGAGCCAAGGTCTTGTTTCCATTGCCGTTGCCTTCGTGGTTTTCTTAAACTCCCTACTGAACTTCTTAAAACCAAATGAAAGGCAAAGAGTGAACAGCCAAACGAACATAAAGCAAACGAAATCCCAGCCGAACAAAAAGACAGCTGAGAGTTGCAGAAAACTTCTATGCTGTGAAACGTCTTTGAAAGTCCAAACGTATAAAATGACTTGCCTCCTCCTTCCTCCGAACTGAATTTCATGCATAATGCGCTAAAAACGACTTTAATTTCGTATTTAAGTTATTGTTAACCTGCAGAACAGGCGGATTAGCGGGGGCAGAGAGCGAAACGCGATACACGAGCGCGGAGCGCGACCACGAGCGCGAAGCGCGAGATCAAAGAAATCGGCCGGATTTATTTCGTATCGCGCTCCGCGCTCTTGTACCGCGTTTAGCTCTCTGCCCCGCTAGTCCGTCTGTTCTGCAAGCTAGGTTATCGCAGAAAATCAGAAACTGCTATACAGGTCAACCCCTGTTAAACGGCCACCCTCTAGGAAATGGATCATTGGCGGCTTAAAGGGGACTGGCCGCTTACTAGAGGTAAAAAACAGTACAAAAGCCTTCATCAGGACTTTGATTACTGGCCGCCTAATAGGGGTGACCGTTTAATCGGTGGCCGCTTAATAGGGTTTTGACTGCATTTTTCTTATTTCTTAACCAACACTTATATCATTTCTAAACTATAGTCGAACCCCTATTTAGCGGCCACCTTTTAAACGGCCACCCCTATTAGGCGGCCAAAAATCAAAGTCCCGATGAAGGCTTTTATATTGTCTTTACGTCTATCAAGCGGCCAGCCCCCTTTAAGCGGCCACTATCCATTTCCCAGAGGGTGGCCGTTTAATAAGGGTTGAACTGTAATGAGGGCCTTTTCTTATTGAACCCTCTTCTAGCTGTCACGCGGCCATCTCGGGGTTTGTTACACACTACAGTGAAATGAAGGTAAAGGCCGTTTTTTTAACTGCACTGGCGCTGAGTTCAGTTGTAATCGTTGGCATCGTTGTTTATATCAAAGAAACCGTACAAGACGTGATCAGATTTAGTGAGAGCACTGACTTTTATTCACCAAATCATTTTTTCGCCTACAACTCGAAGCTTCACGATTATACCGCACAAAGAAGAACAACTCAAAAGCCATTTATTTATCTTACAGAAACCGACCATTGTCTTCCTCGAAACTTGGCCTCTTCCTCCCAGATTGGCGATCCGGAGACCTGCAACTGTGATGTAATTGTGCTAAGTTTCCGAGCCAAGTGCAAAGATAACAATCAATCACACATCACTTATTTGTTTGATTCGAACACCCTCTTTGCATCAGGACGAAATGAGCTCTTTTTTGCCGCATTGGATAGAAGACCAGGCTATCATTATTACATATTTATAGACGACGACATCACTCTCCGGTACAACGAGTTTACACCCGCCAACATGACTAAGATGTCGCCCTTCCGAGCTGTGGAAAAGTGGTTGCTAGATTACGAGCCAGCAGTGGGTGTCTTGGGGTGCGAGGTCCATCATGGAACAAGCACTGTCTTAAACAGAAGGAGAGATTTATGTGGCATAAATGAACCATCTCTCGTTCTCCCTACCGTGTTTTTCGACACCTTCTTTAACGCTTTCCACCATAAAGCTGTTGAACATGTCCTTCCCTATCCAACGCAATACGAACGTGGCTGTATTTTTGCAAGCGAGAGAGACACTATGATAGCTGTCGAAGTCAAATTCGGCGGCCAAGCACTCCTGTTTTCTCCTGTCGCAGCTTGCGATACCAAACATCGAAAATATGATAGGTCTGAAATAAACATGACGGAAATATCGCGTGAATTTATAGCGAGAATTAAGCAAGAGGCGCCACCAATGCTGAGAAATCACGTCATATTCAAAATGTTACACGCGAGTCCAAAGATTTATCTAGAGACCAAGTCGCCTTCGTTTTGTGTGAATGTAACTCGACACCAGCCTATTATTCCATACAGGCACTTACTGAATGATGTTTGATCCTTTCTACTCTCACATTTACACTTTTCTTTAACCACTTTAAAATATTTTAAAATATCCTTACAGAGGTTAGTTTTTCACGCGACTCGCTCAACGAGCGTGAATATTTCAATGGCTTTACGTCGGCGTAGAATAAGATAGTAGAAGATGTTTATTTCTTTAAATTTATCTGTATTCCACCCGTCAACTAAGTTGAACTAATGAAATTTTGATTTTATTCATGTCATCAGTGTTCTATAAGTACTTAAAGCTAAAATCAAAGGTGTTTTAACAGATTATACTGTTGCTATGGTTACCTATTATGCCGTAAGGACTGCCATTATTGTTTCACCAATGGCTGACAATTTGCGTGAGACCAATATTATAGTACCACTTGATCAAAATAGGTAGTATATTCATCCGTTAAATAATGGCTGTTGGAAAAGTGCTGGAAACTGTTGTCAGCCTTCTTAAAAGGGCTTGGCCGCTCAACAGGGAGTCGTCAAGAATTAGCACAAAACTTAGTTGAAACATCAATTTATTCACTTACAAACTTATGCCTGAAGGCTTTTCACCACTGTTCCACATAATAAAGGCTTCGCATTACCGTTTTCTTGATTCACTTGTCATGCAAATACTGTATCCTAAACGGACTCTATACTGAATGAAGCGATAATTTTTACCATCCGGTTAGTTTCTAATTACTGAACGTAAAATTACTTCAAAGCAGTCATAATAAACGTTTGTTTGAATGCTTTTATCAGTCGTTACTTTCAATTGCGGACTCTTATCTATCATCGCTTTTTCCAAAACAAAGCCAAACTGTGCGTATTTAATCATGGCCGCTTGGTAGGTCTGATAAGGGTAAGCAAGGACAATAGGGAACCCTGATCGGGACGACCAAAAGTTGGCCGGTTCATAGGGACTTTATTTACAGTATTTTACTGACAATGATTTCGGGATTTTGATATCTAGCCGCTTAATAGAGAGTGGGCGATTAAAAGGAGTCCGAATGTTCATGGCGTTTTATATGTCTACTTTCGACATTTATGCGACAGACAAGTCAGAGGTTGAAAGTATCTGTACTTGTCATAATAATCAGGCCGGGTTGTTCAAAGCCCGATTAAGCTTACCCAGGATTAACGAAAATTTTCAGTTTTGGAACTTTTTGGATATGTTCTCTGTTTAAATTGTTTGTCCTTCAGTTTTGAATTTGAATACGGCCCAAACTGAACAAAACACTTTTATACAAGAAAAATTAATACTTCGGTTAACGTTTTATCTTGGGGAAAACTAGCCTGTTCAAGGCTCTCGGTCAGTGGGGACGATCGAAAACACGGGGATCTGGGAGAGAAAAAGGAGAGGGCGGGAGACCTCTCCTTCCTTCTCCCAGGCCATGCTCATCTAG